CACTATCTACATTCAACAAGATAATTGAAAAATTTCTGTACAATCGTCTAATGCAATTTATTCTCAAATACAACCTAATTTCCAACAATCAATTCGGCTTCAGACCTAAAAGTAGTACACAAAATGCGGCAATAGAGCTTGTTAGCTTTTTGAGAAAGTCACTGGATAATAAGAAAATCGCATCAGTCGTGTTTATGGATATTAAAAAAGCGTTTGACTTAGTTGATAGAAAAATATTGATGAGGATGCTTAACCTTATAGGAATTAGAGGCAAAGTTGAGGAAATACTTGAAAGCTATCTATCACAAAGATTCCAAGCAGTCAAAATAGGAAATAAAATCAGCAAACCATTAGAGGTAATCTATGGAGTGGTACAAGGAAGTATTCTCGGAAGCTTATTATTTAATATATTCTTCAATGAAATAACTAAACTTGAGGGACTTTCTGGAAAAATGATTCTACACGCGGATGATGTAGCATTGATGAATGAGCATGATCCAAAAGAAGATATCACCAAAGTTATTCGAGCGACATGAAAATAATTCTGAACTTCCTTGACCACCAACGTATGATAATTAACTCTCAAAAAACTAATTTCATGGTCTTTCACTCGCCCTTCATTAAATGCACACAACCACAATCAATAACTCTAAATGATGACCTTACGATTACTAACATTCCTACAATGAAAAACTTAGGAATCCGCCTTGATCCTCATTTGAAAAAGGATATTCATGGCAGCCAGGTGGCAAAGAAATTGGCATCAGCAGCTAGCATAATGTGGAAGTTAAAAAATATCCTGCCGTTTGTTGCCAAGAAACAAATTTATCACTATATGGGGAAATGCATGCGACACTGTCATTAAACCGATCCAAACAATCCAGAACAGAATGTTAAGAAACATGTATGGGTTTGAGAGACTTGATAATCAGTCTCTTCGATCAGCAGCTGCAAAAAATAGTTTTGGTAAAAAGGATATCGACCACTTTGGTGTAAACATAATCAACAACTTACCAATTCAAATCAGGAAGTCTGTTCACATCCATGCTTTCAAATATCGTGTTAGGCAGTTTATCACCAATGACCAGTTCATGTCGAAATGCTTCAACAACAGCTTTTAAATAAAAGCTTAATTAAAAATCATTTGGATGAATTTCTACCTAAAATTTTGCACCAATTTGAATTACTAATAATTTCTTTTACAAAGTTCCTATAATTGGATATTCCTTACCTGATTTATTGTTATTGTGGAATCTGTTGTTGATCTTAATGTTTTCCGATTAGTATGGTTTTTCTTAAGCCTTGTATCTCGCCAAAAAGAATAATATCTCAGTCAGTCGAACACCGTTAATCTCATGTCATTCACTTTTTGAAAAGCTCGTAGCCAAAACACTATTCAATATTCAATACTCCAGTACGTCAAAATTTAAATTCATTTTAACCGTTAAAGCCATAAATATGTTTCTTTTAGTTATAAGTTCTTTAACGATATCAACATATCATTGTAACTTAATTTAATTATATGCATAAAATATGAAAAGGTTAAGTAAGGTTTTTATGCCATCTGAAATAGTTTAAATACTCTTCACATGGCTTTTCCTTGCGAGTGATAAATAAATAATAATAATAATAATAATAATAATAATAATTAAGAGTTGCGAAGAGTGCAACAAGTTTCAGAAATCGAATAGAAAGGAACCAATAATTCAACACGAGATTCCTCTTCGATCATTTGAGAAATATGTAAATATTTAAGTTCGAAGAATTCGAACGCTGTAATTTCTTAATACATTGAGATTTTTACAGAACACGGCTTTCCAAAGACTATTATTCCAGACAACATGCCGTTTAATTCATTTGAATGTAGAAGTTTTGCCCATGAGTGGGAAATTAAAATAGTCACTTCAAGTCCTCGTTATATACAGTCGAATGGTCTTGCAGAGAAAGCTGTAGGAATAGTTAAAAATATGATGAAGAAATGCGATAATTTCAATAAAGTTTTAATAGCAATTTATAATTACAATAACATTCCGTTAACGGATATTGACTTGTCTCCTAGTCAATTGCTTAATAATAGAAGAATGAGAACTAAAATTATTATGAAAGATAGCTTGCTTGAACCAAAGTTAAATTACAATTTAAGTGAAAAATTCGAAAAGAAGCAAACTAAAACCAAAGTTTATTACAATCGAAATTCATATAAACGTAATGAGTTCGATTTAAATCAGAAGGTGTGGGTACAATTGCCTGATAACACTTGGTCTAAAGGATCAATCGTTAAGAAATGTTCAGAGCCTAGATCGTATGAAATTTGTATTGATAATAATAGGGTTATTAGACGAAACTCTAAATTCATTCGACCTGATAGGTCAACAGTATCCAATCAAATTGATCAAAAGAAATGCAATGAGTCTAGTCGATACAGAATCAATCTCGATAACTTCTTCGCTGACAACTCACTGCATGAACCTCCTCTGAATTCTAATGCAAATGCCGCATCTCCCGTTCATCACCAACCAACTGCAACCTCAACAGAGAGTAATTCGAACCAACAACCGTTCCGACGATCATCAGGAATTCCTAAACCAGTACAAAGATATGGGAATTGATAAGAGAAGGGAGATGTAAAATAATGATCTCAGTAATCCGAGAAAAACAGTAAATCAGTTGAATATCTCGAACAAAAACATAGAGACGTGTTTCATTGAAAAATCAAAAATAAAACAGTCCTGTCGTTCGAAAAATTAAAAAATTTAAATTAAAATATGTCAAAAAATTTTAATTGAAAATTGTCTTAAAATTTATTAAAAGAAAGGACCTTAATAAAGATAATTAAGAAGAAGAAGGAATTGTAAGGTTCTAATTTAAATTTTACTTCTACGATTAGAGTCTTTTTTTGTAAATTACATGGGAATAACATTTAATTACAAGGCTTTGATTGTTGCCATAAATTTCTTTTTTGAAGTATAGAAACTGCTTTTATAGGATAAGTACTATCCTGAGGGCAAATATCTTTTTGAGGTACCAAAGTAATTACAAATCTGTTATCCGCTATTTCATATATAGGACAAGATCTTGTTTAATAATTATGAGGAGCAAATGAAGGTTAGGTTTTTCTCCCAACCTCCGAGTGAGGAGAAATAAGTCACAAACTTGCTGAAGCTGTCTATAAAGTAACAAAGAACAAAGACACCACGGAGAAAACTCATCAGAGTTGTGATTTAATTAAGTTTTGGAGATAAATTGGAATTGAGAAAAAAATGTGCAAATTTTGCACATAACCTAGACAAAACGGAATTGATCAACATCGGAATACCACAGAACATTTAATTACATTGACAAATCATGATAGGCGGCAGTTGTGAGGAGAATCAATTGTTTCACGTGGGTTTTTGTAGGGTTTCTGGGTTGTGGTTTTTGGAAAACTGCAAAACCGCACTTTTTGAGTCGAATTTGCGGTTTTTTAAAAACCGCAGTTTTGAAGGCCAAAAACCACGGTTTTAAGGTTTTGATCCAAAGTGTAGTAAAAAACATTAAAAACTGAAAATTAGAAAAAAATTCAAATTTTTTTTTAAAAAGTTTGTAAATTTTAAAGAAAATATTTTTTGGTTTTTTTTTTTCAATAGATTATTAAGTCTTGATTTTTGTTTTCATTACAGTAGCTTACCAATCGATTAGCAATTTTGTTCCATGCTCAATAACTTTTCAATATTAAACCAATACTGTAATGTATTATAATGTAACGTTTTGAAGACTTTCGTTTGTTCTTTCAGAAAATATAAAACTTATTTTTAAATATTACGGTTTTGTGTGCAATTTTTTAAGATAATGTTTGACACCTAAAAATTTTCTAGCAATTTTTTTTAAAGAAACGCTTTTAATAAAAAACTATCTAAAACATTAATACAGCAAACATTATACATATATCTCTATGAAGCTAATTGCAATGCCTTAAAATACGATATTATCGGGAAAAATCGGGACTTTGATAAGTCAAGTTTAGAATTTTTGATATAGTTTTCGTGCACTTGTAAGAGTTTGCATAAAAAACGCAAAAAACAGCGAAACCGCGGTTTTACACTTTTTTAAAAATCACAAAATTGCAGTTTTTGAAAAATTCGGTTTTTAAGAAACCCTACTTTTTTGTGTTTTACCAACAATCGTTGACAAGAAGCAACCATTGCAACATTGGAATACAGCAGAACATTAACTCCATTGACAGCTCACAAGCAAGGGAAGTTGTGAGACGAATCGATTGTTTGCAGCTGGTTTCTGGTTTTAAAATTTATTTAAATTGAGTTTTAAAATTAAAACTATAAACTAAAATAATATTCGTAAATCATTTTTGCCACTATAAATTTTTTTGTAAATTTGATGCATTATAAACATTTTTAAATTGAGTTATTCATTTTAATATTCTTTGCATAATTTAAAGTTCTTACTTAGTTCTTTTTACACAAAGTCCGACATAAAGACCTTACTTAATGGAGCTTCCACAGGTCTCCTCATAACATGTCCAGCCCATCGGAGCCTGTTTACTTTAATACGTTTAATATTATCAGCTTCTGTAAAGAGCTGATACAACTCCGCATTGCAAAGTTTCCTCTGAGGATCCTCCTCTCCAAAATACCAATTGCATGCTCGTCTGCTGAAGTACTAATAAAGCACTACTAGGCGTACTTTCTCACACTTTCCCATTTTCGTTTAATTAACAAGAATTTTTGAGAGTCAAAGTTGTAAAGAACACGGATTATTAAAAAAAATAGGAATTCAACCAATCTGTGGAATTGCCCACAAACTTTAATCATATTCACACTTTAATTTTATGTTTTGGAGGAGAGTTTCAAAAAACTGAATACGTTGCTTATCTCCGTGCTTCCCAGGAAAATGCGCTGAAATCATTTAACAAGAAAGATGATATGCTTATTATCCTGGTCTAAATAAATTGAATTTTAAGATTTTTGACAAAAATACATGTAATGAACACTATTTTTATGTAGTTCCGATATGGTAGTTCGAAGTCTAGGAAACTCGTTGATGGTAATTATGCCAGAGTTGATTAACAAAAGAATTATCGACTGGTTCGATTTAAGACGACCTTTAATTGCCTTCAAATTTCAAACAGTAAGTAAAATTTAATGTAATTAAGTATTTTTGCTACTGACATAAATTTTTGATCATTATCTATTGGCTTCAGATACTAAATAGGACCAATAATATATTCGAACTTGTCACTGTTCTATCGGTATGTGCTGGTGATCAACGAAAAACTGAACAAATTATGTTAAAAGAGAGTGAAGGTGAAGAAGAAACTGAAAACAGATTAAGATTGAAAGGCCAAATGATTTACATGAAGGACTGGCGGTTAATAATGTTTCTTGGAACACCAGTGTTAGTAAAAAAGAGTTTTTATAACAGTTTTTTTTAAAAAAAGTTAAATTCTCAAAAATTTTAGTATGCCAAAATTGTCTTCACTTTTGTCAACTGGTCTCTACATAAACGATTTATCGATGCACGATTTTAGCAGGTAATTTGAGAAAATATTTTCTTCAAACGCGTTCTACGTCATTATCTAACCTTTTTTTAAATATTTTGCTGTTGAAAACTTTTTATATCACAATTGATACTTCTTGAATTTTTTTTAATTCTTTCTTTATCTTGTTTTCATCGTGCAAATTAAAATTTTTGCGATGATCGGAGATATTCTTCTAGCAGGAACTCAACAGTCTGTGGAGTTGAAACTAGCTCTAGATCAAGAACAGCAGAAATCAAAAAAACTAGAAGAATCAATGCGAAAACTGGACGAAGAAATGCGCAGAACAGATGAATTACTCTACCAAATGATTCCTAAACAAGTGGCTGATAGACTTCGAAGAGGAGAAAATCCCATAGATACTTGTGAGGTAAGAAAATAATAACATGGGGTTGTTATGAATTGCATCATGTCTTAATATCATATTTCTCTCTTTTTTGTATCAATGTTTCTTTTTGCATTGATTTTTTTTTATCTTTCAATAACTATAAAATTTAAATAAGATGTTTGACAGCGTTTCAATATTGTTTTCGGATGTTGTCACGTTCACCGAAATTTGTAGTAGAATTACTCCCATGGAGGTGGTCTCGATGTTAAATGCAATGTATTCAATATTTGATACTCTTACGGAACGAAATAACGTTTACAAAGTTGAGACAATTGGAGATGCTTACATGGTATGAATAAAAAAATTTATTATTTTAAAATATATTTAGATAGGGGGTCGTTCACTTTTTGTAGTAAAATGGGTCAAATACTTCCACAATGCACAATGATTCAGATTTGAAAAAAGTGTTTAAAAATTCCTCGTGCAGAATATTTTTTTCTGACAAATTAGAAAATTGAAAGTTTTTGTTAATTTATTTTGATTTGATGCTTTTAACATCTTCTACATAATTTTTGTTTTAAACTTTTTATTTATTTACATTTAAATTTAAGTATGTGCAAAGTTTCTATACATTTTGTTGCTTTTTGTTTTTTAAGGTTTCAGGCATTCAATTTGCCTTTTGTCTCTTAATTTTTGATTTCATTTACGGATTTTACTTTCTTTAGTATTTCATTTGATTTATTCGGTGTTTTGAGATGCAAGACGACTGTTGAAGTTCGCTTGCAACTTTCCGACGTAGTCTTCGATGGACGGTTTTTTCGCTTATGCATGAAGATCGGTGATCATTTCATATCTTGTTTTATTGAGAACAATTCTCAAGAATTTGTTTTGCAGTACTTATCTTCTACATTATGTTTTCATTAATTGTTCAAAAACTCAGTCCATAATATAAATGATAAACATGATTTTTAGCGAAAGTTTGTAAAAGTTTATCCAAAAATATTGTGCATGTCCAAATTTTGTATGCAAATTTATGAATGCAAATATCTCAAACGCAAATATCTTTGGAAGAATTTTAACTTATAAATAGTTTAAGTTTTGTAAAAATACTAAGATTTCAATTGCATTTTTAAGAATTAATAAGCAGTTTTCTGTTGATTTAATTTTTATTATCCAAATCTAAGCTTAACTTAGCTAACAACAGCTAGCAGGATATCGAAATATCAACTTAAAATAGAGAAAATCAAAGATTTTTTTCCAAATACAAATTGTCTTAATAAGATCTTTAATCTGGCATTCAAAAGATGAAGTTTAATTAATATGATAATTTTGAATTTTTGACAGTTGCAAACTAGATCTCAACGTGAACAGACGTGTTTACAAATCGCTCCGCAAATTATTCAAAAATCTCAAGAGAAACTAAACAGAGATTCTCAATTTGATTTGATTTTGATTCTCAAAGCAACCAAATGGTAGAATCACCAAAAACTACCAACAACAAAGAAAATCTTTCTTAAAATCAGCATGAACTTAATAGTTCTCAACAACAACATTAATCTTCAGTGAAATACTCGCTTGAACTGGGAAGGGCATCTCAATAGCGTCATCACTAAATGTACTATGTCCTTCTGGGCGTGTAGGTTTATGGTGGGAAAGAACTGGGGTTTGTCTCCTAAAATGACCCGCTGGATTTACACACAAGTTATAATTCCCAGACTTACATAGTGATGTGAGTGGGTGTGTTGCATGGTGGCATAGAGCTAATACTAGAAACTTTAAAACAAAACTTAGTAAATTACAAAGAATGGCTGAACTTTGCATCACAGGTACTGCTAGAACAACATTTACAGCCGCACTTGACGCTGCTCTCATGCTTCCTCCGCTTGAATTAGTGGTTGAGGCGAGAGCTCGCTGTACGGCTATTAGACTAGCGTCCTGTGGATCATGGTTTGGTTGGAATCAATCTTTCGGTCACTGTTCTTTATCAGGATTTCTGAATAAGAATCCTTGTTATTGGACGGAGCCCGATAGGATCTCAGGAGTATATGAATTCTCAAAAACATTTGAGATCATCATCAACAATCGAGAGGTAGTGTATGACTTTGACAGTCTAAAAGCTGACTCAGTTATCTGGTTTACAGATGGTGCGAAAAACAGCGAAGGTGTAAGAGCTGGTGTTTATTGCACCAACTCTCAATTAAAACTTAATTTCAGTATCACAGAACATTCAACTGTCTTCCAAGCAGAACTTCTTGCCATCAAAAAATGTGCAGAAATCTGTTTGGATGAAACATTAACACAGGAAAACATTATCATAGCTTCTGACAGTCAAGCAGCTTTAAAATCTGTTGGAGTCTGTAAAGTCAGGAGCAAAACAGTATTAGAATGCATTCAAGCACTCAATCAACTAGCAACAACTAACAGGGTAAAACTTGTTTGGATTCCTGGGCATTCAGGTATTGTTGGCAATGAAATAGCCGATCAGTTAGCCAAATCAGCCGCAATTCCATCAGATCAACCTCAGGTAGCGACATTTATTGACAGACTTTGGAAACGGGATGTCAATCAATGGCTCCTGCTTAAGCATAAACAGCACTTTACAGCATAGGATGGCATGAGGACATCAAAAGCTTTCTTGTCAGTCAATGAGAAGAAATCTATTGAATTACTCAATCTTCCTAGGAATGACTTTAGGTTATTTCTAGGTATTCTTACAGGACATTGTCGGCTCAACAAGTATTTGTGCGATATTGGAGTTAGAAATGACCCAATATGTAAACTATGCAAAGACAAAACTGAAACTTCAATACATATTCTTTGCGAATGCAAAGCACTAGCAGGACACAGAAGAAAACTTTTAGGTTCTGACCTGGTAGAAACAACAACAATTAAAAAGACTAAGTATTCAATTTTATTGAATTTCTTGAAAAGCTCCGGTATACCAGGGTGATGAGTGATCACTGCGCTGTGTATTTCTAAATCAAAACATCAAAAATCAACAGAACTGAAAATACAGTCTACAGATATGACTACAAAAATGCAAACTTGAAAAAGTTCAAAGCACAAATTTCATGCCTCATCGAAGACAACATTGGAGAAAATCTTTGCAATACAGCAGAGGAGATTGAGAATCACATTAAGATTCTCTCTGAACTCATCATGGAAGCGAGGAACTCAAGTGTAAAAATGAAAAAGATCAACTTCGAATCAACTAAACTCACTCCGGAGATTAAAGATCTAATCAATACAAAAAGCAGTCTTCGTCGAAGATGGTAAAAAAGCAGAGATAATCAACTCAAATCTGAATTGAATTATCTGCAGAGACTCATCAATAAGAAAATTAAAGAACTCAAAAACAAAAACTGGAATAAGCGTCTCTCAGAGATTCAACCGTCAAACCAAACAGTTTGATGAATAGCAAAATTTTGCAAAAAAAAGGTTCAAAAACAATGCCTCTATTGACAAATCTGGGTTAAACGTTCATCACCAACAAAGAAAACGCCAGCGCACTCAGTGAGTATTTATCATAAAAATCTTCCTGAAAAAGGTTTCGAATACTTTAAATTCATTATCAATTCGTGTCTGAAACTCAATCATTTCCCCAAAGTTTGGAAACACGCAAAAGTGATTCCTATTCCAAAACCTAGAAAACCAGCAAATGAGTTAAGCAGATACAGGCCAATAAGTCTACTCAGCCCAATAAGCAAAATCCTGGAGAGAGTATTAATGTACAGAATCAACGATCATCTTGAGGATAACAACATCATCCCAAGCCAGCAGTGGATCAACATCTCACCAGCTCATCAAAGTGATCAAATCAGCAAAAGAAAACTTAAACAACAAAAAGTCAACAGGCATGATCTTCCTGGATGTAGAAAAAGCATTTGACAGAGTCTGGCATAACGTACTCTTGTGTAAAATGCTCAAACTGAGATTTCCACTACCACTTATAAAAACTGTAAGATCTTTCGCAGTTTTTACTAAAGGTCAGTTCTCAGAAATCAAGGTAATCAAATTCGGAGTGCCACAAGGAGCAGTGCTTTCACCAACTCTCTACAACATCTTCACGTATGATGTTGTAAGAGAGACAACCAACAACATCGGTCTTTTCGCAGATGATACAGCACTGTACTGCAAAACAAATTCTTGAGAATTGTTCTCAAAAAAACAAGAAATGAAAGGATCACCGATCTTCATACAGAAGCGAAAATACCGTCCATCGAAGACTACGTCGGAAAGTTACAAGCGAACTTCAACAGTCGTCTTGCTTCTCTAAACACCGAATAAATCAAATGAAATACAAAAGAAAGTAAAATCCGTAAATGAAATCAAAAATTAAGAGACAAAAGGCAAATTTAATGCCTTAAACCTTTAAAACAAAAAGCAACAAAAAGCAACAAAAAATAGTATCAAAATTTTGAACATACTTAAGTTAAATCCTAACCCATTTATTAAATGTAAATTAATAAAAAAAATTTTTTTAACAGTTTAACAAAGAAAAACGTATTAAGTGAACTGCCTATAGGTTTATTTGAGATAAAGTTAGATAAATGATAGTGCTGGTGGAAAAGCTAATTTTTAACAGCTATTTACTTTGAATAAATTGATGATGAGAAACTTTTAAACCAGAATCTTTTAATTTGAATAAAGGTTGTGTCTGGTGCTCCTGAAAAAGAACAAAATCATGCCGAAAAAGTTTGCGATATGGCATTAGACATGATTGAGGCAATAACCGATTTGGAGGATCCATCAACGGGGCAGCATCTTAAAATTAGAGTTGGAGTTCATTCAGGCGCTGTTGTTGCTGGAATTGTAGGTCTCAAAATGCCTCGGTAAGGATGAACAAGATGTAACAAATATTTAATGCTCTTTTGTAGCATATGAAATAAGAGAAACTATTTTTTTAATGTCATGTCTATATGTATTCACAGGTACTGTTTATTTGGCGACTCTGTCAATACAGCAAGTCGAATGGAATCAACAAGTGCTGCTATGAAAATTCACATATCGCAAACCACTCGAAATTATTTAACAGATAATTACAAAGTTTCAGAACGAGGGGAAATTGAAGTTAAAGGAAAAGGAATCATGAAAACATATTGGCTCGATTATCGTGAAAACCGTCGATCTTTAGCTCAATCAAATAAAAGTCCTGTTAAAGCAATTGAATACAATTATGATCGTCGTATGAGTATGCCTCAATATATGTTATACAACAAAACCGAAAGTAATATTGACGAAAGGCGAGTTTATTCGCCAATAACGTTTGAAGATGTTGCTAGACGTTCTATAATCAATTCGCCCATTCGAAATATTTTTAGTGCACATGGGCGAGTATCACGCTCAAATTCTACGGGTCATGCTTTCATGCAAAGCCCAAGCGATGTATTTGGATCTCTTATTACTGATACTGAAGAATTTTTAGAAGATTTACAAAATAGAAACTCACCTGGTTCGGGTTTTTTTTCTCCTATATCAACTCCATTATCCGTTTATAGTCAACCATCAGCATCTTATCGCATGTCGAAAGTACGTAGTAAGAAACAAACTGCTGGACAGGTATGTAGATAATAATAAATTTGGAAATGATCAAAATTGGCATGTAAATGAAAAAGAGCTTTTATTCATAAAAGGATTTTTAATCCTTCTCTTTTGCTTAACAAGTAAATAAAACATACCAATTGATTTAAAATTTTCTTAATTGTCTCATTTTCATTAAGTTTATGGAAGAAGAAATTGATTTATTAAATACAAAGAAAAAACCCCAACCTTCTGCACCAATATTAAGCAAGAATGACTCAATGACAACAGCCCAAAATAATAAAACACAAAGCTTTAAAACTAACTGTGAAAAAGGAATTCTGAAAAGTAATTTAAAAGGCAATAAATTTAATAAGGAAGAATCACAAAAAAAAGCTTTAGAAAATTTAGATGAAATGGTAAAAAGTATATATGATACTGATATTCCGGGGATGTGTTATCCTCCTCCTCCGAACTCTAAATCGGAGGGTAACATAGGATACCTTCAAGGTGTTTATAGGTAAGTTAAAATTAAAGGTAACAAATAATTACTTATAATAATTATATAATATATATATAAATATATATATATAATAATCTGTAATTCAAAAACAGTCATGGTGAATATTGTTCGAACAATTATCGACAGCATCGATTTATACCAAACAGTCATAGCTTTACTTACAATAAGGACCATCACTGTTGTAATGGTTGTCACAATGCAAATGGCCGACATCATCATAAGCTTTATCATCCGAACGGAAATTGCTGCATATTGTAGGACGCGTTGAATGTTTTTAGCGATTTGTATAATGAGTGGAACCATTTGTATGTGCTTGTGATAATATTTGTAGTCAAATATACACAAAAGTTTTAATATAAAGTTAAAGCAAACTGAAACTTTTTAAAATAAATTGAAGAACGTTTTTTTTTTTCATTTTATTAAAATATATTCCTACCTACTTATTCTAGAAAAAAAAAATCTTAATTTAATTTAAGAAAATAGCAGAGATCGAAGCCGATTTTTTCGGCTTAACTCAATTTTTGATTTTTTTGATAGAAAAAAGCCATTTAACACCCATTTCATTTAACTTGAAATTCTGAGCTTACTATAGCTACATGCTGACAAAATATTTCACAGAATCATAGTAAAGCATGTAAAGTTCAATTTAAATATTTGAAATGGGTGTTAAATGGCTTTTTTCTATCAAAAAAAAATCAAAAATTGAGTTAAGCCGAAAAAATCGGCTTCGATCTCTAAAAAACAGAAAAAAAAATTCTTAATTTAATTTAATTTTTTTTTTCTCTTTCAATTCTTATCCTCTGGAAATTAATTTCCAACATTAAAAAATAGGTTAATAAAACAAGAAATAATTGTTGTTTTTAAGATTGTCTATTTTATTGTACTTAAGTGTAAAATGAACAATAAAGAACTTTTTAGAAGAAAATCATTTTTAAAAAATTTGTTATTAGTCCACAACATTATTAAACAATAACACGATTTCTGTAGAAAGCCATATAACTTGCGCCTTTAAAAATAATTTCGAAGGGGAGGAGTCCAAACCCTTAGCATCAAAATTAGAAAAAATGTGCTTAAAAGTTGTCTCTATTTTTTGTGATTAATAATACGCTCAACTTAACGAGTACTATTTTATCTTTCTTCACGTAGGTACTTTAATTTGTGTTAAATAAAATAAATGTCTAACATAAATATAAAGATATTACTAAGCTTCAAGGATGCACTTCCGCCAGTGAACTTGAAAAATATTTTGCTCTTTTCAATATCTTAGATTTGAGGTTCACGCATTAATATTATGTATAGTCAAATAAAAAATATAGCATTGAATAGAAAAAAGAAAAAAAAATATTTCTCTTTTTTTCAAATCAAACACGCTCAGTGTCGTTTTGGATAAAAAATAAAGAGAAGACAGAGTAAAGAAATAAATTTATCTTACAAACTAAAGCTCATCCCAATCTCTTACTTATTTCGTCGTCAGTTAGGTTTTTGCATTCGTTCTGACAAGCAGAAAATCTCTACGTCAATATAGGGAAGAACCTTCCTTTAGGTACTTTTAAAATTAATTTGAATGTGTGTTTTTTAAACTTTAAAATCTTTGTCTTTTCATGATATATTCTGGAACGTTCTTTTTAATATTTTTTTATCGTAACGTACAAAATGAATCAGATTGCTAAAGATGATAATTGGAAGTGATAGACTTATTTTTCTGTTGTTGATAATTCACTAAGGGGTCGTTCACTTATGACGTACGAAAATAACGGGCATTTTTCAAAAAAATAGAATGGCTTTCAATGAATTTCTATTGTTCTTTGCTTGCTGACCCCCCTTCTCTGGACGTCATAAGTGAATGGTAGTATGCATATGCCTAAGTCATATGCGGAGAAAAATATTGATTCTTTTCTAAGGAAGATAATGTGCAAAGAATTCAATAAGCTTGTAATATGATGAGGACTTTGAACTTAATAATATGTGAATGATGAATAGGTATCGAGAATGTAACGCAATTATCAGTTTATACAACTAGAAAAAATCACAAATTTTTCCTTCTCTCATTAAATATGTGTACAAATGTTAATTTTATGGACAAAAATCTAAAAGAGAATTTATTAAAATTATTTTTTGAAACGCACATAGCCTTGAACTATCATCAAATCCAATGAATTGAAATCAGAGTCTACATTTCCTTTCAGAAAGTCTCGTGAAGTCTCATATTTAATTCTTTTATGCGATTTAAATATTTTATACATTATTTTATGTTCTGTCTCTTTTGTTTGCAAAAAAATTTTGAAAATGACATCAGTACATTACAACTTGCGCTCAATTTATTAAATAAGATTTTTATCACGATAAATAAATAATACGTGTTAAAGTGAGTGAATTATGACTAAACATATAAAAAAAATACAAATTAAACAAGATTGAACTTTAAACTTTAAAAAACAAATCATTCGATATTGTTTTTGATATTTCAAATTCAAATCAATCATACAAAAATGGTCATCCATTAAAAGAATGATTAAAATCATTTGAAATGTTAATTTTGATCAAATTATTTACATATTATTTAAAATTTAAACGAACATTAAAAAAATAAATTAAAGAAATTCGTTCTAAAAGTTCAAGTTTAAAGATTTTTCTAAATCTTTTAAACTGGTTTATTTACAACTAATATTAAACTAATATAAAAATATTTTTTCAGAACTACAACAAAATACATTTAAAATTTAAAACATTGAAAAAAGGACATGAAAACAGAAAATAAGATAATTTTAATCAATCTTCAGATCATATTTATTATTTTTAACGCTTCTGCTTCTTTATACGTCACCGATGTACAAATGAATAAAATGATTGAGTTAACAATTCGAAAACCTCATTGTCGTATAATCGTAGATCGTGGATCAATCCAACAGGTAGTTTTATCAATGGATTCATTAAAGATTCGCCAAGTTCCAATAGAAACGATTCACACACTTGAAAAAGTTTGTGTCGAAGGAAATCAGCTGAGTTCTGAAATTCAAGGTTTGTATTGATTATATTTTACATATAATAAAGACACACTTTCAATCATCAAAGAAAAACCATCAAAAACCATGGAAATTTGCAATAAATTTCTTTCTCAATGATAACCGGAATAGGAAGATTCCATGAATGAAACAAAATTCTCAACTAGAGTTTTTTCCAATATTTCTTTAATTAACTTCTTTTAACGCCAAATTGTCGACTTATTTTATGTATTAATATAATATTAATGAATGTGATTACATAATTCTTTATCTAAATGTCTAACAGAAGATATATTGAAAAAACCAAACTTAATCGCTTAACTTTCGACCGAATATTGTAAAACAAATTACCTCAAATTACATTTTCTTGACGAAACACAGCATAATTAACATGATTAATTGATAAGAACACACTTCATTTCCTCGGAGTCAACTTCGAGTCAACTCAAGTTGAGTCGACTCAGAGTTGACTCCGAGAAAATGAAGTTGACTCGAGTTGACTCGAACCCTATCGACTTCGAGCTCTGAAAATATGTTTTATTTTTCCATTTTAGGGGGACTAAGTTTTGTAAGTCGAAAAAATAACCATTGAAAAACCCCAAAGTACATCTAAAAATTTCGTTTCTTTTTTTTTTTGGATTCTTAACTTTTTAGATATATCCAGGTATTTATCATTAAGTATAGTATAGATTTTTTGTAAAAATTTTTTTTTAATTAAAGCTACATTATATTTACAGGAACGGTATGATTATCTTTATTAAACTAATAATACGAGTAGGATTTATTCTTTAAAAATCTATTCTAATCTTACTTTTCGATGTTCGCTAATATTTTGCACAAAATAGCTATGGTGTGGTCCTGGTAAGTTATTAAAACACTATTTATTTTGTTAAATTTTAATTTTTATATCTTATGTTAAAAAATAATCTAAATTAATTTGCTATTTTTTAATAGGGAATATTGCACAAAATTATTCAGACTTAGGAAGACACAGTGGTGAGTTCAAAAACCTTGAAAGACCGATAAAAAAGTAATGGCAATTAAATGTTTCGAACTTTTTTGTATTATTTATATGTAAAAATTGTACAGAGGAAGATAAGTGTTGTAGGTAATCAAAACTTTGTCACATGCATAATTTAGAGTGCTAAATATTTTATTTCTGTTTTAAGAGCACATGATAATTGCTATCCTCAGATAGCTCCAGGCGAATGTTTGAAAAGTATTTGTAATAAAGGATCTTTTACTCGTTTACACTGTGATTGCGATGAAAAATTTCGAAGATGCTTAAGCAGTTTAAATACTGATATTGGAAACATACTGGGTGCTGCATTCTTTAACACCGTCCAAGTGACATGTTTTGACTATAGACGGCCATGTAGTATACATCAGAGGTAAATATACATTTTTACATAAAAATTGGGAAAAGAGAATCAAAATCCTCATCTATTGTTGTACAATTTACTTCTTGAAGGTTTACAGTTACTTAAAAAAATCACTTTAACTTAACGTCACTCCCGTACCATTTTTGGGAATTTTGCTATATCTTCATTACTGTATAATGATATATCATCAAATGTATTTTATTGGGTCAGACATTTAATTGGGCCCCGACGAAAAAAAATTATTCGTGAGTGACGCTTTAAATCTTAAACATCTCCGAAACCACAAAAGTGACAAAATTCAAAGTTGCTTTATCTTGTAGGAAACAAAAATTTCTATCTTTTGACATACAACTCACAGAAAGTTAAGCAGTTATGTCAGAAAATCACTTTAAATAAGCGTCACTCACAAATAATTTTTTGGGAATTTTGCTATAACTTTATCAGCTTTCATTGATATATCTTTAAATGTATTTTTTTAGATCAAAAATTTTATTCTATTGTGTTTAGCTCCAAAAAATTTTTTAAATTTTCCTGGAAACATACTTTTTTGAACATAATTAAGTTTAAAAAAAATTAACAATTTAAATTTTTCAGGGACCAAAATGAATGAAAAAAATCTGTGATGAAAAACATCATTATTATTGATGATGAAAAAAATTTGATTTTTTTCATTAACGTAAATTATTACGTAAAATTTCATCACGTAAAGCAAAAAATGCAATAAAATCAAACCAAATGAATAAATAATAAGAACAAGAGATAGAACAGATAGGTTAAGCTTTAAAAAAGTATGTAGAAAAATCTTAAACGCCATAAAAATCAATTTTTTTTTTATCATCAAAAATAATGATGTTTTTCATCATAGATTTTTTTCATTCATTTTAGTACCTGAAATTTTTTGAAAATTTTCGGTTGTGATTTGTTTGTTTACAAACAAAATCGTAAATGAAATTTGAAAAGTCACGAAAATATCACTCAATAATGGCGTAAAAGCTCTTAAAATAGTCGGAACAGCTAATGCATCATCTACTTTTCGTATTCAAATCATAATATTTGGGAATAATGATTGAATAATTAAGATATTTGAGAATTTAATTTTTGATGTTTTTACTTAAGCGCAGTTTTGTGTTAGCGATCAGTATATGATAAATCTATTTATTTTGCGTTCATTTACAGATCATTAGAAGATTAGAAGATCATTAATTTTAGTGCAATTAGCAAAAAATTACAATGAATGCTTATATAGAAAAGCTTTGTTATTTAACGGTCAAAAAATAATTTGAAATTTTGCCGCTAAAAGTTGCACCTCAAAAACAATAATTATAGTATAATTAATAATCTGTAGCAATGAATTTCCATACATAAAAAGTTTATCATTTAACGGTTTTCTATAGTTCAAATTTTGTAACGATCGTATGCATTTGAAAGGATCTTGCCAAAAATTACAGTAAAAGCATTAATTATAGTATAAATAACAGTCTGTTGCAAAAAAATAAAAAAAACTTTTTAAAAAAACTACGTTTTTCGCGTAGACTAAAAAGTAGAAAATAACTTTTATTCTTGGTTGTAAAGAATTTGGTTTTAAATTTTCAGATTATATTTAATAAATGTTTATATCCTAGTCAATATTGTTCACAAAGTTTCGAATAAGTGCACTTTGATCTTATCGTATAACTCAACAACTTAAAAACGTGGGCGCATTATAAAAGGAGAAATAAGTTTATGTGAAATCAATACTTTATGATAAACTTAAATTAATGCGCCCACGTTTTTAAGTTGTTGAGTTATACGATAAGATCAAAGTGCACTTATTCGAAACTTTGTGAACAATATTGACTAGGATATAAACATTTATTAAATATAATCTGAAAATTTAAAACCAAATTCTTTACAACCAAGAATAAAAGTTATTTTCTACTTTTTAGTCTACGCGAAAAACGTAGTTTTTTTAAAAAGTTTTTTTTATAAAGTATTTTATTTTCTACTTTTTAGTCTTATTCTAATGAAATAGAGAAATAAAGATTATAGGGGGTTTATAGGTTACAGGTGTGTTGAACTCCACTTCGTTGCACTTCGTTACGTTCAACTGTTTATAGATTACAGTAGGTTCATAGGTTACAGGTGTGTTGAACTCCACTTCGTTGCACTTCGTTACGTTCAACTGTTTATAGATTACAGGTGTGTTAAACTCCACTTCGTTGCTCTTCGTTACGTTCAACTGTTTATAGATTACAGTAGGTTTATAGGTTACAGGTGTGTTGAACTCCACTTCGTTGCACTTCGTTACGTTCAACTGTTTATAGATTACAGTAGGTTTATAGGTTACAGGTGTGTTGAACTCCACTTCGTTGCACTTCGTTACGTTCAACTGTTTATAGATTACAGTAGGTTTATAGGTTACAGGTGTGTTGAACTCCACTTCGTTGCACTTCGTTACGTTCAACTGTTTATAGATTACAGTAGGTTTATAGGTTACAGGTGTGTTGAACTCCACTTCGTTGCACTTCGTTACGTTCAACTGTTTATAGATTACAGTAGGTTTATAGGTTACAGGTGTGTTGAACTCCACTTCGTTGCACTTCGTTACGTTCAACTGTTTATAGATTACAGTAGGTTTATAGGTTACAGGTGTGTTGAACTCCACTTCGTTGCACTTCGTTACGTTCAACTGTTTATAGATTACAGTAGGTTTATAGGTTACAGGTGTGTTGAACTCCACTTCGTTGCACTTCGTTACGTTCAACTGTTTATAGATTACAGTAGGTTTATAGGTTACAGGTGTGTTGAACTCCACTTCGTTGCACTTCGTTACGTTCAACTGTTTATAGATTACAGTAGGTTTATAGGTTACAGGTGTGTTGAACTCCACTTCGTTGCACTTCGTTACGTTCAACTGTTTATAGATTACAGTAGGCTTATAGGTTACAGGTGTGTTGAACTCCACTTCGTTGCACTTCGTTACGTTCAACTGTTTATAGATTACAGTAGGTTCATAGGTTACAGGTGTGTTGAACTCCACTTCGTTGCACTTCGTTACGTTCAACTGTTTATAGATTACAGTAGGTTTATAGGTTACAGGTGTGTTGAACTCCACTTCGTTGCACTTCGTTACGTTCAACTGTTTATAGATTACAGTAGGTTTATAGGTTCCAGGTGTGTTGAACTCCACTTCGTTGCACTTCGTTACGTTCAACTGTTTATAGATTACAGTAGGCTTATAGGTTACAGGTGTGTTGCACTTCGTTACGTTCAACTGTTTATAAATTACCAGTTTTCAATGGGAAATTAGTAACGACTTTCAAAATTTTTCATTCGTTTTATAAAATTTAATTTTTTTAAAGCATTCATTAGTAAAGTACATTAAAAATCACTCGTAAAGATTTTGTGTTTATCTGTACCATTTCTACTTCATAACTTGTGGATTCTTAACATAAAGATGCAAATCACATCTATATGTAACGTATTTATAACGGATTTTCAAATTTAAATTCAATGAATATCATTTATATGTTATGCAAAAATACGTCAAGCCGTTAATAAAAAGAAAAGTCAATTTAATTAAGCTGGTGAAGTGTTATGAATAATGCAATACATTTAAAACAGCATAAATTTATGCTCAAACTATGTGTGGTAAATGCATATCTCATATATATAGTTATTTTGCATTAATTCGTAACGTATTTATTGCTTAACGGTTTTTTTGAAAATTCAAATTTTCACTTACGACTATTCATGAAAAAATTACATGTCAATTTTTTTGTCCTACCAGAATATCTTTAGCTGCTCAAATTTATGGTATAATTAATAATTAGTAATATTAATTAAACTATATTGAGTCATATAAATGACTTTAGAGCATCACAAGTATAATATTTAATATAAATCAAAATTTTATATCATTGACATTGGATTTTTTCCCATATAAAAAAGTTTTACATAAATTGTACTATAATTAAGCATTTTTGTGTTTCCAAAGTATTAAAATATTGTATTGTCACCGGGAATACGTGTGCATTAAAAATTCGAGCTCGATTGGAGCAGTAGAAGTGGTCGAAAAATCGATTACAAAAGTACGAAATTTTGCGGACAATCAATCAATCAATCAATCAATCAATCAAACAGATAAGAAAGCAAGTTAAGAAAAACGTAGTAAAATTTCATATAAAAAGGCTTGGTAATTTAACGGTTTTTTGAGATTCAAAATTTTCCAACGGTAGAAATAAATTCGAATTTATAAACGCTCTCATCACGTGTTTTTTCATATGAAATATAAAAATCATTATTTATAGTACAAAAACACTGTTCCAAGACTTTTAAATGCGTTTCCCGTTGGACCTGAGCAAATAAAAGAAACTAGAACTCTCTACGATGTCTAGTTAAAAAGTTTTTCTCCGCCCGAACGAACAGACAAAGTGAGATATTAAGCTACCTTTTAGAAACAAGTTTCAAAAATGCGCTAAAAAATCGTCGAGGCCCAATTCTGTTATGTTTGAGTTTATTTAAAATTGTTGAGTAAACATACTTGAATGAACAAAATTAAGTTAAAAATCGTTTACCAGTTTTAATTTTTTTGAATTTTTTGGGTTGTTAATTATTTGTTTACAAACTCAAATGCAAATGAAATTTGAAGAGTTGTTAAAAGCTACTGTAATATGTGGCATAGCTTTAATCTCAAATGTTTTACTTATTTAAACCTTAATACTTAATACTTTACACGAGGTAATTGAATTATTAAGATTTTAAATAAATTCATTTTTGGTGTTTTGATTGGATTAGTGTAAATTCAAATTTCATTTCAAATCGTCGAGGCATTTATAATTAAAAGATTTAATATAAATTTATTTTTAAATTCACACAGTATTTGCGTGTGAATGTATTGTTTTTGTTCAGATTGAAAAAACAGTTTTTTGCATTTAATGAGGAAACGAAGCACCATACCCTATTTTATTACGTTTTTTACGATAGAAGCAACTACTCGTTACTAAGTAGCTTTTTAAAGAAATTTTTAACGTAAAAATAGGGTGAAGTTTGTGCCTGGAATTTTAAATCTTCTGCACAAAACAAAATTTAAATTGGACTAGGAATTGCGAATCGGCAGAAAAAGACTTCTAGTTTTTTGCTCAGCTAACTCGTCTTACTTTAAATAGCTTTAAATCTTCTTAAACTATTTACAAGATTTTCGATGATACGGTGAGATTATATCCGCATTGGGTTTTCTACCCGATACACTACTTATACTTCTTTCGTACGTACTTCTTTCTTTCGGTTTTGGTGAAGGCTATCTATTTTTTGTGATTCATCACATAATTTATTAAAGCAATATAACCTTTTCGGGTAATTGCATACTGTAGCATGTATCATTATAAAAAGGACTAAGCTTCTAAAGTTTCATCTAAAAGAATAATTAACATTTTTTTTTTAATCAAATGGTGTCTTCTTTTTGGTTCTTTATAATTTATATTCAAATAATTCATTTATATTTTTTCATAAAAATGTTTTTAAAAATACCTAATTTGAAAAAAAAATGAATAATTACTCACACAGGTCAGATTGTGATTTAGAAATATATCGAGAGAGGCCCTTCATATTCAATCATCAGAAAACGTATAGTCGACGATCGTCGGATAACTTAATTACAGATAATGCTCGATTCGCAACACAGTCATCTCGATATTTAGACAGTTATTCTCTCAAATTATTTCTGCAAGCATTTTACGGGAATTATGTTTACAGACCTTTCCGTGCTGTAGCAAATTTTGCTTTTGTAACCAAGACCATATTTTATGCTCCATCGACAAAATTAAAAGAAAATTTTCTTATTTCGGAGTAGTTACTTAAGATAACTTTGCCTAGTCAATTAAAACTACCACCAAATTCTTTCAAATACTCATTAAATTTTTTGTATTCATTTTCACTATTCTGAAATATTGAAAATTATACAGAGTTGGATTTAACGAGACTGAACAAGAGGAAATTTGTTCGAGATATAAATTTCAGCCATCTAAGAAATATCAAGCACGTCCGACAACAGATCGAATGCAGAATGGAGTTAAAAGGCCCCACTTGATATAAAATTTAAAATTTTAAGTTAACCACACTATTATATTATTAATGTTTTATATTAATCTGTAAATAATTCATTCAAAAATTAAACGATCAATTACCGAGTCTTTCTTAAGAAAGTAAAAAATGTAGATTATTTTATTTAACTAATAAATCCTGATTAAATATCATTTTAGGACGGAATGATTATTTTTCAATTTTTTTTTCTTGTAAAACGTATGTAAAACATTAATTTATGACGAAACAAATAATTTTTTTTTTCTTAACTTTAAAATTTACCATCTATCCCGAACATACAAAGAGCATGCTCAGAAAAGTGAGTCTACTCAAAAATTATACTCATGCAAGCTCATTCAACTGAGCATGCTCAGGAGTTCATTACGAATGTACTCACTTTAGTTTTTTGCAAAAAATTTATAAGCTCACGTGAGTATATTCAACGAGTGTACTCATGAGAATATTAAGAACATACTTATCCGAATACACTCGTATGAGTGCACTTACTGAACATTCTCATGAGAATATTAAGAACATACTTACTTCTGTGTGACATAATTTTTTTAGGTTCTCATATGAGTGCACTTACTGAACATGCTTATGGGAATATTAAGAACATACCCATGGGTATTTACTCTTATGAATACACTTCCTAAACATACTCATGAGCATATAATGATAATAATTATATCTATATGACATTTTAAAAAATGTCGACCAACTTAAAATCGAACTAAGAATTCATTTTTATATCAGTCGACATTTTGAACAACTTAAAAAACAACAAATGTAAAACAACTTAATATCAAACTTAGAATACATTTTTATGCAAGTCGACATTTTTTGAAAAATGTCGACCAACTTAAAATCAAACTTAGAATACGATTTTATGCAGGTCGACATTTTTTGAAAATATTTTATGAATTCAAATATTAGTTCCATGAAAGCCAAAAGATTTTGATCGTGCTTAATTCTTATAGTTTTTTAAAAGCAAAGTAATTTTTAATTTGATTCCTTGAGATTTAATTCAGAAAACTTAAAATTGTCAAAAGTTTCGTACATTTTTGTATTACATATCTAAAATATTCAACATTTGCTTCTAAGTTGGTTGACAATTTTTTAAAAATAACATTTTTAAAAATGTCGACTATCATAAAAATGTATTTAAAGTTTATTTTTATGATGGTCGACATTTTTCATAATATGTTTTCACGATCGTGCTCTGATAAACTCAAATAGTTCATAAAAATAAAGTTCAATTAAGCAGCGTATCAAACTTCAAAGAACTTAGTTTGCCTGTAATAATATAATAATTTAAGTATGTGTTTTGCCATATAAAAATTATTATATATTTACAGAAAATTGCTCCAAGGAAAAGTGTGAGGTGACAGAAGTTAAGCAAACGCAAAAGGTTTTTCTACAAGAATGGGTGACCGGTGTTTAAAACTTCCTTCTTAAGTATTTGAGATAAAATGTTAATAATATTTCTAAGTCTTCCAAAATTATTCATAGAATTGTCCTTATAAAAAACTCAAATTTAACTTAATTAATTTTTTTGAATTTTTTGACTTTAACTGATTGCACTGATGAATGTGCTCAGATAAGCATATACTCATAAATAAACTCACTGAGCATATATCTTTTGAGTATCTTCATGATTATAAGCTCTTTGAGTATGTTTATGAGTAAATGCTCTTTAAGGACTCACAAATAATGTGCTCTGAGTATACTCATTGTATGTCGGGTATATTATACTTACCATAAAAACCTAATATTCTACTTTGTGTGCAAATTATTTGAATCTTGTGTGCGATTTTAATGTAATTTTACTTTTTCACTATGGTTGAAATTCTCTGGTCCAATACTATTTACGAAAGGTTTATATGTTTTTTAAGGCATAAGTAGCTCGATATTGGGATTCTGTTCAATTACAAAAATTTGATATTGCGAATAGACGACCATCCAACAATAAATCTGTTATAGAAATCGATAAAAAAGAACATTTATAATTCTAGTGACAATTTTAAATACATGCACATGCACTTACATTATAGCCCATCCATAGCCAATTTATAAGACAGTAGAGAGTCTGAACGAGCTGTATACGACATAATATTACTTTTAAAAAATCATATGAAAAACAAAGAGAAAGCTTACGTAAATGTAATAGCCGTATAACTGCCATATCCCAAACAAAAATTGAAATATTATTATGATGCCCATCTGAACAAGCCAAGGAAGAAGCCATCCTCTTGTTTTAATTTTAATGGCAAAATAAATAAGACAAGATGACACAATAAACATTAGTAGGAAAGAGATGAAAATAGCTCCCCAAAATTGCATTGAATCTCGAACATCGGTTTCAAATAAAGGAGAGTATAGCTGAGTGGAATCTCCTCCTGTCATGCAATATATAATCTGTTAAGAAGAAGTGTAAGTAAGATATTGGCACGTAATTAATGTTAAAAAAATTACCATTGTTATCAATATTATTGACATTGCTGATGTGTAAAATCCAATAGCAAAGCTGCCAGTTTTCACAGTATTTGTCCAGATAAATGGAGACCAACATGATTCTAGCCAAACCATTGTAATTAATTCAGGAATTCAACGTAAATATTTTAAATGATTTCAACGAGTTTTTTTCATTAAAATATTATTACAGTGTTTGCAGACTGATTAATTATTGAGAAACAGTTCTATTCACCCAAAAGAGAATATGACTAAAAAGTTCTTTTCAAAAACTAGTTTAACTAAACTAAATTATTGAAGAAAATAATAATAATAAACTTCAAAATATTGAAAGGTGTGTCTGTTTGGAGCTTTCAATTTAATAGCTTTGAAAAAAAAGATATTCTTAATACATTAAGGCATTGGTAAACAAGTGTATCGGGTAGAAAGCCAATGCGGATTATATTCACACCGTACTATCAAAAGTCTTATGGATATACCAAGATTTGTCCAGCATAAGTATGAAGGTATGAAGCTTGATAAATCAACTGAGCATCGCTCAGCATAAGTTTGAAGATATAAAGCATGCGAGTCAGCATAAGTTTGAAGTTATAAAGCTAGCGGGTCAGCTAAGCTTCGCTCAGTATAAGTTTGAAGATATAAATCATGCGAGTCAGCTGAGCTTCACTCAGCATAAGTTTGACTTTTATAACCTTTTTTTTTTTTTTAAATTAAACTTTTTATTTATTTACATTTAAATTTAAGTATGTACAAAGTTTCTATACATTTTGCAAGGGGAAAGAACTCGTATGAAAATGCGTGAAAATACATGTAAATGCAGGTATTTGCAGGTTTTTACATGTAAATGCGGGAAAATGGGGGTAAATGCGGGAAAAAACATGTAAATACAGGTATGCACTGAAAATAAATTACCACAAATATATTGGGATTAAAATAATAATTTAAAGGTCCATTTTAAGGAATAATGAAAAAAAGACATAACTGTTTATTATTTATTTAAATATTATTGTAAAAAGAACGTATGTCTTCCTGAGTAAAGTCTAGATTAGCATTAACATAACATTTGTATAGCTTTAATTCAAAATACTTAATTATGTCCATCAAAACCTTTTGTCCATTAACAATAAAGTATAATGGACTTAACAGCAAACCAATTTTTTCACAATGCTCTATTTCTACAAAGTCTTGATAAAATGTTGATTTACTCATCGATTGGATATGCAGGCGCTTGAAGTTTAAAACTTGTCCAAAAATAGTATTTCCTTCATCAAATAGAAGAACATTATCACCTTTTGAAACTTTTGTGGCTATCCAAAAATCATCAACTTCATTTACTGATGTATTAATATGAATTGTCCTACAAGGTACGAAACGTTGTCTAACATCTGTATTGACATGAATTTTGTTGTTTTCTAGCATCCATATCAGCTGATCTTTCTTAACTATTCGTGTAGTTTCACCCTCTTTGATTGTTAAGTAGCCATTGTTCGATCTAGCGCTAAGAAACTCAACATTTTAAAAAATGAGACTCTCATCGATTGGCTCAGTATCTTCATCATCCCATGTTGTTGAAACAAAGTGTGTTTCAAATTGACCTCTCTCACATCCAGCCCTTTATTCATGTATTTTTTTAGAGCGCTCAATTCAGGTAAAACCATATTAGCTTGGAAAAAGTTGTACAATGATTTTCCAACTCGTATAAAAATGAAGGATGACAGATTCTTGATGATATCACTAAAGCGATTGCCTTTATAATGCAGCTCATTATTTTAAAATTCATAGCTTAATAACATAAGAAATATGGTAACTGTTTATTGTAATTATTATATAGAAAAAAAGAAATTTAATATGGTTGTCTCATATTAAGTTTGTCTTCGAGAACTTCTTGAGGTATGAGTTTGTAAACGACGTACATGTATCTGTGGATCATTCGGGGTCAGAACTGATTGGGAATGGTTGAAATCTAATTGAATAAGGAGCGAGTTTCCACTTAAAGCATCAAGGGTTGAACTATTGTCAGGAACCGAAGTAGAAATAGGAGGAGGTGTTGAGAGGCGTGAAGGATTTCTGATTTGCAAATGTCCCCGTTTCAAATGATCAACGAAATTACGCTTACACAATGTTTTGTTACGACTTGGATAAATAATTGAATATGATAAATGACATAACGGACAGGTAGCATGAAAATTCTCTGTATCTACTGCAACCTTTGCACCGTTAAGGATATTTGGAAATAATTTTTCAAATTCTACCATTAAAAGTCCAGTCCATTTTTCGATACGACGTTAAATCCCATTGCTAACATTTTGCATATTACTAGTAGACGCTGTATTTCGTCCCGCAGATGCACGATAGTGATGAGCGATTGACTTAATTTTTCCAACGACTACAAATGGTATCTCAAAATTTTAAACTGTACAAAAGCAATCGCTTATAAAAGTTGAAGCTTCTGCAATTAGCTAAATGTAGGGTTACCATAGAAAATTCAAGTCAAAATTGACGTGAACAATGTTAAGGTGTCTTTACGTCATGAAACAGCTTTTAAAATTAATAAAATCGTTGCAAATTACTTTTTTAAAAATAAATGAATATAAACCATTGCTTAATTGATAATAGCGGTAAAATACATGTAAATGCAGGTTTTTGCATGTTTATGCATGTATATACATGCAAATGCGGGTAAATACATGAATATACATGCAAATGCGGGAAAATGCATGCATATACATGTTAATGTGGGAAAATGAGGGAGAATGCATGTAAATACAGGTGAATGTGAGAAGATTTTACAGTTCTTTCCCATTTTGTTGCTTTTTGTTTTTTAAGGTTTCAGGCATTCAATTTGCCTTTTGTCTCTTAATTTTTGATTTCATTTACGGATTTTACTTTCTTTTGTATTTCATTTGATTTATTCGGTGTTTTGAGATGCAAGACGACTGTTGAAGTTCGCTTGCAACTTTCCGACGTAGTCTTCGATGGACGGTATTTTCGCTTCTGTATGAAGATCGGTAATCCTTTCATATCTTGTTTTATTGAGAACAATTCTCAAGAATTTGTGAGAAGAAGGTGAAGTGCTGCATTATCTGCGAAAAGACCGATGTTGTTGGTTGTCTCTCTTACAACATCATACATACGTGAAGATGTTGTAGAGAGTTGGTGAAAGCACTGCTCCTTGTGGGACTCCGAATTTGATTACCTTGATTTCTGAGAACTGACCTTTAATAAAAACTGCGAAAGGTCTTTCACTGAGGAAAGATCTTATAGTTTTTATAAGTGGCAGTGGAAATCTCAGTTTGAGCATTTTGTACAAGAGACCGTTATGCCAGACTCTGTCAAATGCTTTTTCTACATCCAGGAAGATCATGCCTGATGACTTTTTGTTGTTTAAGTTTTCTTTTGCTGATTTGATCACTTTGATGAGCTGGTGAGATGTTGATCTTCCAGTCCGGAAGCCTCAAGATGATCGTTGATTCTGTTCAGTAATACTCTCTCCAGTATTTTGCTTATTGAGCTGAGTAGACTTATTGGCCTGTAGCTGCTTAGCTCATTTGCTGGTTTTCCAGGTTTTGGAATAGGAATCACTTTTGCGTGTTTCCAAACTTTGGGGAAATGATTGAGTTTCAGACACGAATTGATGATGAATTTCAAGTATTCGAAACCTTTTTCAGGAAGATTTTTGATGAGTTTTTTTGTGATGCTCACGATTTCGTTTACATCTGTTAGTTCTGGATTCTCATAATTGTCTTGTTCCAATGCTTCTTTGACTGTGTTGTTTACTTCCTGTGTATGTTGTGGATCGTTTTGTTCCAAAGGATTTTCGTGAGCTTCCCGAAAAAAATACTCACTGAGTGCGCTGGCTTTTTCTTTGTTGGTGATGAACGTTTTACCCAGATTTGTCAATGGAAGCATTGTTTTTGAACCTTTTTTGCAAAATTTTGCTATTCGCCAAACTGTTTGGTTTGACGGTTGAATCTCTGAGAGACGATTATTCCAGTTTTTGTTTTTGAGTTCTTTAATTTTCTCATTGATGACTCTCTGCAGATAATTCAATTCAGATTTGAGTTGATTATCTCTGCCATCTTCGACGAAGACTCCTTTTTGTATTGATTAGATCTTTAATCTCCGGTGTGAGTTTAGCTGATTCGAAGTTGATCTTTTTCATTTTTTCACTTGAGTTCCTCGCTTCCATGATGAGTTCAGAGAGAATCTTAATGTGATTCTCAATCTCCTCTGCTGTATTGCAAGAATTTTCTCCAATGCTGTCTTCGATGTGGCGTGAAATTTGTGCTTTGAACTTTTTCCAGTTGCGTTTTTGTAGTCATATCTGTAGACTGTATTTTCAGTTCTGTCGATTTTTGATGTTTTGATTTGGAAATACACAGCGCAGTGATCACTCATTGCCTCTGTGCATTGAAGTTCTGTTGTTTCGAGGTTGGAATTCAAGAGCATCAGGTCAATTGTTGACACTGATTTGTTTCGATCTTGTGGGTAGTACGTTGGCGAGTCAGGAAAGTAGATCATGAACTCTCCTGTCATTTCCTGAAAAATCTTTCTTGATTTATTTGCAACATTGCAGTTCCATTCTCGATGTTTTGCATTGAAGTCTCCACAGATGTAGTAATTTCCTCTCAGATTTGTTATTTTGTTGATGTCATCTCTCAGATGTTGATCTATTTCCCCTCCTTTGCTTCCTCCTGGGAGATAGACTGAGAGGATGTGACAACTATCCGTGTCATTGATGAAGACTTTGATTCCAATGCATTCCATTAGTTTTGTGTTGTAGCTTGGTTGAAGCTGATGTTTTAGATTTCTTTTGACGATGATTGCAACACCAACCTTTGGTATATCCTTTGCTTAGGTAGTCGAGAAATGCTAACATTTTGTCAGTCAGGCCGTTAGCATTCCAGTAGAGGACGTTAATACTTTGTTGTCTACAATCCATTATTGTATGCGGTGTTTTTGGCGTTTGAGCCGATTGCTTGGAGTATTTCGTCGATGAACTCTGGATTTTTGGCGATTAATTTGAGAAGCTACTTTCTTGATAAGGGACTTGCACTTTGATTCCTCTATTTCTGAGATGTTTTTATCTCTTGTGCTGGTGCTTTGAGCTTGTTGATTAGTTGTTATGTTTCGATTCACTACCTCAACACTGAATGAAGGTTCTGGGAAAACTTCATTCGAGGTCTGACTTGTTGGACTGATGTCTTCTGAGTCCATAAGCTAAACATCTTGCTTTGGTTTTTGATGTTGATTGTTATTAATGCGCTCGTTTTGCTTTTTTCTTTGATTCTTTTTCCAATGTTTTCCTCTTTCTTTATTGTTTTGTTGGTTGTTCAAGTTATTTTTATTTCCCTGATTTGAGGGTTTGTGATTTGGAGGAGGGTTTGTGTTCCTTGGTTTGTGGTTGACTGGAGCTTGATTTTGATGAACAGGCTTTTGTGTACCAGATGTTGATGGTTCCACATTATTCTTTCTCCACTGAGGTTTTGGTGCATGTTGGACGTTTCTGGTTATTCGCTCAGGACGATGCGGTGTTGGAGGATTGTTTCTCCGTTGTCCATATGAATAATGGCCTGCTGTTTTGTTTTGATTTCGGTTGTTTCCATTCTGTGATTTTGATTTCCACTTTTCAATTATTTCTTGTCTGGTTTTACAACCTGTGAAAATTGCTGTATGTTTTTCACCGCAGAAGAAACATTTGAGTTTTCCGAGTGGAACCTTGTTGGTCTCTTTCGATATGTACTGGCACGTTTTCGAGTCATGTTGCTCAGAGCATCTGAAGCAAACGGACGGTTTGTTACAACCGTTTTGTCCATGACCAAACTGCAGACATTTCGAACATTGAGATGGTCCAGCTTGTCTATTTTTGTAGTCAGCCCATTTAATTTTGAAACTGCTGACAATTTTGATTTTTCTGAGGAATTCCAGGAAATTTCCACCTTGTTCTAAATTTTTGTTTTGAAGTAGAGCCAACTCACTGATTTCCATATCTGGGAGTCCATAGAGTACGTACTTCTCCAGTGGTTCTTGGCTGGAGTATGTGTGGAAGTGATGCTTTTTGTCTTTGAGTAGTTGGATGAATTTCTCGTAGTAATCCCAATTCTCCGTTGTTACCGTTTTTGTTCCTTGTTTGCCCTTTTTGGTCTCAATTAAGAAACTTCCAGGTTGATTATTTATTTCATTCGTCAACCTCTTGATTTCACCAGCTCCACCTGTGCTGATGACAATTGGAGGTGGTTTTGATTTTTGTTGAGATTTGTTGCTGTTGTTTTCCGTGTTTACGGAGATTGTCTTTTGTTGCTCAGATGTTTTGCTGTTTTCTCCCCAGGACGATAAAGTTGTCGATCTTTTTGTTTCCTGCTCTGGTGAACCAAATTAATACGGTTTTTCAGAAGACATAGTTTTCTTTATTGGTGGGAGTTTGAACAGTTGTTTGTTCCCATCTTTTGGTTTGCTTTCGTTTGCTACTCTTTTAAAAGGAGCGCTGGGAACTATTACTTCTTGATTTGTCATCTCAATGTCGAATACTTGTGAAACATTTTCACTGATAATTTCCTCAATATTGAGAATTGTCACTGAAGATGAATGTTGTTGTTGAGAACTATTAAGTCCATGCTGATTTTGAGAAAGATTTTCTTCGTTGTTGGTAGTTTTTGGTGATTCTACCATTTTGATGTTTTGAGAATCAAACTGAGATTTTGAAACTTTTTGCAAACAAAAAGCTTCTCAGGTAATCTCTGTTTTGTTTCTTTTGAGATTTTTGAATAATTTGCGGAGCGATTTGTAAACACGTCAGTTCACGTTGAGATCTAGTTTGCAACTGTTGACTTTTATAACCAATTTTGCTTCGTTTTCTCACAAAATGTTTTTCAATCTGAACAAAACCAATAGATTCACACGTGAAAACGATGTGAATAAAAAAACATTAATTAATGGAATAAATAAACTTTTGAAAATACGAGTCAAATAAAATATTTTTCAAATAAGCATAATAAATTAAAACGAAATTTTAATTTAATAATTTTTTTTCCAAAGCTTTGAGTTGTTCGTAAGCTTTAAAAACTATACTTAGTTGCATGCCCTCCTTCCATCAACAAAAAAGTAGAAGTAGCATCAAATTATTTAATTCACTAAAGATCAGTTTCACAATCGATTATTAAAAATTTATTTGCAGGTATGTACATTGAATTTGTAGATCTCATAAATTCACGACATAAACAATTTAAACTTTTATTTATTATTGTTTAACTTGCTGTTAAAAGAAAAATGACTTCGTCAGGCTTCACATTGCCAATGGCAACTACAGCACAATCCTTAACAGCTCCAAGTCAGTCCATAACGTCTGCTGCTAATTTACAAACATCTACAACATTACCGGTTAATCAAATGAATTTTTATAATCTCGAGGAACAAATAAACAAATATACTCTCGAATTGGCAGAACAGGAGAAAGTATTTACAAATCAAGCAACATGCGGTAAGTAACTAGACACGCTCTTGTTCTATTCGTTGTATACAATATTATTTATATTTTTCAGTAAATGCTTGGGATAGTATTTTGTTGAAGAACGGTGAAAAGATTGTGGAACTGAATAAAGCTGTTGAAAAGATAAAAACTGACCAGTCTTGTTTAGAACAAAAAATAGATTTTATTAATGCACAGCAAATTGAGCTTGTTGAAATTATTTTGCCCCTTGAGAAAGAATTGGCAAAGATGATTCCGCAGCAAATAGACGTGGATCGTAGCCAAGCTTATTTGATGGCTGAAACATTGGACTCTCAATTGAAACAAATGTCTGAAGATTTAAAAGAAGTTATTGAGCATTTGAATGAAGCCAATAAGTTTTCAGATCCAGCTGATCCGATGATTCAAATTGCAAAAATCTTAAATGCTCATTTTACATCTTTGCAGTGGATTGAAGAGAAAACTCAATCCATTAACAATCGATTAGATGAAATTTCAAAAATAAGTTCAACATATCAAAAAGGCTCCTTTCGCTACGATTAAGTTAACTTTATTTTCATTGTTCAAAACCAAAAAAAAAAATGGAAAATCCAATTTAAAGAAATAAAAAAATTATTTTTAACGACCTAATAAAGACTGCTCATTTAAAATATTTGTCATCATTTGCTTGTCTTTTAGTGCTGAGAGAACTTCATCTTCATTCCACTGCATAAAAATTCTATGAAATCTGGGTTCTTTCTTTTTTGTTAATCTCAATATTCCTCTTGTTTCAACCAATAAGCACAAATTAACAAACTCCGATAGATCTGTAGCATAAATATTTCTATTTTTGCAAACCTTCTTATAAATATCATGAAGTCGTCCAATAGTAATTTCCTTATTTTTATCGTGTTTCATAATTAGCAGTATTGTACATATAAGAATTTTTTGCTGCAGTGGAATATCATCAACTTCGTCATTCAAATGCTGAGCACATCCATAAACATTATTTAAAACACTTACAACTTCCTTTAATTGTATTTTAGAGTCATCATCTCCAGTTTCAACAATTGCACTGATTTTTTCCATATCAATACTTTTATTGTTTTTCTTTTTCTCAAACTCTGCAATCTCTATTACCCGTTTCCCGAGATTAAGAGCTCGTCGTATGTCACCAGAAACAGCAGATACTTTGGCTGCCAACAACTGTATTGCTGCTGGAGGAAAAAGATCACTTTCTTCTAAACGTGATTTGAAAATTTCGACTATTTCATTTTTGGTGTATGCAGGAAAATGCATGACTAAAGGCTTCAATTCGCACTTTCGTTGTAGTCTTATGAGTAAACGATCCGTTAGGTCTAATGAATTGGCAATTCCAATGAGTAAGAGTTTAGAATTGGGAATTGAAGGCCACTCAAAAATATGATATAAAACGTTTTGATTTTTACCAGATGAGCATAACTGATCGATTTCGTCCAGCACCAAAAGTGTAGTTTTTTTCTTATTGTCTTTCTTAAAGTAGTTTTCAAGCAATTGTAGACTTTCCTTTTCGTTTCCACAATCCTTTAAATCCAACTCACTACATATCTTTTTATAAATCGCACCAATTGAACTAATACTAGTTGAATTTATAAAGACGGTTTTCAATTTTAATTCATAGTCGTGACTGCTAATAAGTTTTAATAATGTTGCCGTTTTTCCAGTACCTTAATATTTTTTTGGAAGCTAGATTAATTTTAAATTGGTAAGGGAGTGAAATCTGTAGAAATTACCTGGTGGACCATTTATATATAAGCTGGATGATTTTTTTGTGGAAATAGCCTCATCAATGATTTGTAATAAATCCTCAAATTGTTTTTCACGTCCTGGCAATCGATAATTTTCATTAACAGCAAGAGCTCTACGTGCCAAACTAAACTTGTTAATATTCGGTACTTCCAAACTCAGCTTGTGGGCCAAGCAATCAGAAATTCCAGGACTTTTCTCTAAATTATCAACTATTTGTTTTGAGCTCTTGTTTGGCGATAAATTTTCTATTTCTGATAAACTACTTGATGAACTCTTTCTCTTTCTTACTTTATTCTTCTCTACTCCCTCGCCAAAATTTAATTCAGCTTTTTTTGAGTTCCGAGTAATTCTTGGCATTTTTTTAATATAACAGAATATCTTATACTTGCGCCAAAAATGTTAATTGAGCAACAACTTAAAAATGTTGCTCTTATTGCATTGCTCAAAAAAGTTTCATGCCCCATTTTCACAATATATACATTGTTTTAATACAAAACAAAAATAATATCTAAATGAAGTTATAGATAGCTGATTTTTGTGCATATAGATAAGTTAATTTTCTATTCAAATGACCACTGAAAATTTGGTGACTATAGATTTTGAATCTGAGCCTGTGAATAGTGAAAATGCACAATTAACTCCGATAAAAAATCATCTAAAAAGTAGTCAAAGAAATATATTAGACGATTCTGATGATGTTATATTTAGTGATAGCCAGGAAGAAGAAAGGAATGAATCACAACCATTATTAGGCGGTGAACATCATGATACACAAATAATTTATAACCAATTTCCAAGTAGGTTCAAATAATTATTATTTTTAAGTATGATTGCATCAAAAATGATTTTTTTTATTAGTCCAGTTTCTTATCAACTAGCTAGAATTATCTCAAATCACTGTCATACATGAGAAAAAAAGATCCGAGCTATCAAACAAATGATCTTTTTATTTTAAAAATTTTTATAAATAAGACTTTTTTAAACGTACTATAAATTTTCTTAATTTATAAACTGTAGCAAATCCTTGTATTTTATACATATTACAAAGTTTTAATTCAACTGGAATTTCCAATCTTTATATAACCAAGTTTATAAAATAATTTAAGTCCTTCCTCATTTTTCAATGTTAACACACCTATGCAATAAAATCTCTCCATTGCATTTTCCTTGTCAAATAAGAATAGGTAAGAATTTTCCTCATTTTCCATTTTTTTTCCTTGCTACATAATTTATGTGTTATCGAGTTATACATAGGCAAATCTGCCAGAGCGAACGAGAGCTAGACAACAGATCTATAACTCTCTTTTGTGAGGATTAGGGTTCGTTTCCCACCAGAAACCGATCAATCATTGACATAAGTAGTTGTCGATATGACAAGGATTCGCACAATGCTAGCTCACGAAATTGCAATATTCTAATATTGGCTGTATTGATCAGCATGCAATTTCCGTATCTGTGAACCTTCAAAAGTGGAATAATAGATTTCGAAAAGTTTTTTCTTTTAATTCGCTCAAAGCATTCATAATTAAAAACTGCTTAACTTCTTAAAACATTACAATTTTGACTGATAAGATTTAATGTACCTATATAAATTGTTTACATTGTTAATTAAACAATGTTTACAAACAATATTAGGTATTTTTTAAAAAAAATCGATTTTTAAGATATTGCGTTACAGCACAATGATTCAGAATCGAAAAAAATGTTCAAAAATTCAAAAATTTCATGTTAATTAAACTTTGTCTTTTAAATGCCAGATTAAAGATCTTACCTTTATGCATATCCTTTAAAAATATCTCGTTCCTATTTGCTGTCTAACTCCAGGAATCATTAATTGAATTTCGCCCAAAATTTGTTTACAATTTGTGTATGAAAAAAAATATATGATTTTTTCTACTTTAAGTTGTTATTTGGATGTCTTGGAAGCAGTTCCTAGCTAATTTAAGCTTAGCTTTACACATTAAAACAACCAACTCAATAGAAATCTGCTTATTAAGCCTTAAAAATGGAATTGAAATCTGAGTATTTTTACAAAACTTAAACTATTCATAAGTTAAAAATTCTTCCAAAGACCTCTCTGAAACCTATATAAATCAATTAAAGCTTAAATCTATCTCCCATATTACTGAGGACATGCCGTTTTCGAGATACTTGCGATCAAACTTTACATAAATTTTCATACAAAATTAAATCATGCACAATATTTTTTGATAAACTTTTACAAACTTTTGGTAACAAATCATGTTTATGGGCGATTCTACGAATGATTTTTTCTACAAATTTGTCTCCAAATCTATATTTCTTTTTATCAGTTGCATTACTCCCCATGTTTCATGTATTTAATAGTAGATTTTACCGAGATCTACATATTGTTCTCACCCAAACATATAAAAAATGGTTAATTAAAGAATTATTTACATTCTACGAAAAATTACTCTGTTTCACATGAATTTTTTCGCCCAAATTTCCAAAATGTTTTCATTAATATCTTTAAGGTGGTAAAATTTCCAGTAATACTAAGTATACAAAGTTATAATAGCTTAAAGTAAAAGCTTCAAAACGATGTCAAAATCATATTTGTGGAAGCCTTAATTATGCTGCAATTTGGATTCTACGAAAAATTTCATAAGTGAAACAGAGTAATTTGGAGATAATTCCAAAAAAAACTACCAAATATTAAAATTAAAACCATGAATTTCTTAAGCCATAGCTAAGTAATTTGAGTGCAGATGTAATCATAATTCACAGTTTAACCAATAGAAAAGGAAATGAGAATTAGATTTTTGAAAAACTATGCACAAGTGAAAATAAAATAATTAAAAAATTTCATGCAATTGACACGGATTATTTTCATGAAACCTTTTCGTAGAATTGCCCTTATCCTTTATATTAAGTACTGATTTTTTGAGCAATGAACGAAAACATTATGTAGAAGATGCTAAAAGAATCAAATCAAGAGAAATTAACAAAAACTTTCAATTTTCTAATGTGTGGGAACAATTTTGTGCACAAGGAATTTTTAAACACTTTTTTCAAATCTGAATCATTGTTTACAGGAATTAAAAATAAATAAAGAAAAAAAAATCTACATTATAAATTGTAAGCTTTTCAGGGGGCTAGGTAATGTACAAATCTGGAATACATTTTTTTCGTCCTCTCTTTACAGCAATATCGCTTGTTGAAAAAAAAAATACAAACGAAATTAAATTTATATGCACAGTCATAAGCTGACATTTGTGCAGAAACGTTAAACGTACTTGACAAAAAGCAAATATAAACTGTAAATCGATAGAAATTGAATTAATGGACAAGCTTATTGAAGATTTAAATTTAAAAAACATTGATGATGACTTAATTAAAATTTCTTTATCTCCTGAGCACTGTATATCATTAACTCAACCAATCGATGAATTCTATTGTGTCAGTGAAAATTTGAGTAAGAACTTAGGTATTGCTGAATTTTAAAACAATTGAAGCAAATTTCCATTATTTTGATAAAAAAAAATGTAAATAGAACTATAAATGATTAAAAGTGTCACTGTTGCATTGTTGTGTGACTGAAGTACGACGGCATGAAGTGTCCAATCACTTTGAAACTTTGCCAGAATTAAGTCCATATTACGTCCAATTGCGTCCAACAAAAAAAATAATTGTGTCCTACTTCCTGTGGCTGGATATAGCAGATTCTATTTTTGGGAATTATGACGCCGGGTATTCAGGTTTTAAAACGGCATCATTTCCAAATATCAACTTTATTAGACATATTATACATCAAAATTGATCTCTTAATTACGTCCAATTGCGTCCTGCAAAAATTTTTGGAATTGGATATAACCAGCAAGAGTTATGGACTGTCAAAGTTTTGGACAGTACTACTTGTGGACCAATATTTTTTTTGCCCAAATCCTATCATGTTATATATCTAAACAAGTCTACTTTTCCTCAGCAGCTTAAATCTGATGGAATTATTTAAGTTTCTTTTTGGACCTATGGCAGTTCCAGTTCCATCTCGTACTTGAATATCACCAAATGTTTAAAAGTTGACTAGTGGCATGTTGTATATCTAAAAATATCTATTTTTTGTCAGTGTTTCTAATTTGACGAAATTATCTTAGTCCAACCTGTAGTTTTCGACATATGGCAGTTCCAGTGTTTTAACCTTTACCTGGACATATCGAAAGTTTTACTTTTACCTGTCTAATATATATTTTGACAGAGATTGTTATTACTCCATTAACAAATTTGGAAATTATAGCTAAGGTTATGTGCTACAAAACTACATCTTTAGATTTTCAAATGTTATTATATAATATATATAATGTGTGAAGGGCCCTGCCTTTCAGCTGGAGGCACTGCGATTCAAATTAGAACAGAATCTATTGTATCACACCCTTTAGACCTACAGTTTATAGTGGGATCCGAACCACTTGCAAGCTCTGCACATTGCAAAGACACGAGTACGTCATAAGACCTGATGTACCCTGCATGAACCTCGTCACAATTCGTGTGCGCAAGATGCCGTAAGGAAGTCATCCAGATGCTAGTATATCCTGTATACCTAGCAAAGGAGGCAGATTCTGTGCCAAAGACCTCAAAACTACACCCAGCACACGAACCGAGCTTCGTAACTAGAACGGTGAAATGGAAAAAGAGCTTCGAAAATTAGACATGGCCTGGGATTGAACCCAATACCTTTGGCACAGAAGGCCAACGCTCTACCTTTTAGGCCACTGATGCCATTTCACCGCTGTTATCATAGTTTTACGGGAAAACAAGAAAATTTGAAAATCATTAATTTTTTTCAGTTTTGGTTCAAATCAATTTTCCGGAAAAACCAGTTGACGAAAAATTATGAAAATAGTGGCAAATTTTAGCTAATTGTGATATCTACAGATGTCAATCATTGGAAAATTTTCCCTATAAATAAAAAAAAATATTAATTTTCTCTACATTCAAAGTGATTTTCAGAGTTTCCATAAGAAAATTAGCCTACAAAAACTATTTGAAAAACTTTCCACTATGTTAACAATTTTAATACTTTTTACTTTATTTATTATATTTAATACTTTAACTGCCATATGTCGAAAACTACAGGTTGGACTAAGATAATTTCGTCAGATTAGAAACACTGACAAAAAATAGATATTTTTACATATACAACATGCCATTAGTCAACTTTTAAACATTTGGTGATATTCAAGTACGAGATGGAACTGGAACTGCCATAGGTCCAAAAAGAAACTTAAATAATTCCATCAGATTTAAGCTGCTGAGGAAAAGTAGACGTGTTTAGATACATAAGATGATAGGATTTGGGCAAAAAAAAATATTGGTCCACAAGTAGTACTGTCCAAAACTTTGACAGTCCATAACTCTTGCTGGTTATATCCAATTCCAAAAATTTTTGCAGGATGCTATTGGACGTAATTAAGAGATCAATTTTTTATATTCACACCGTTCACGTGTGAATCTAATGGTTTTGTTCAGATTGAAAAATCAGTTTTTCGCATTTTGTGAGAAAACAATGCAAAATTGGTTAAAAAAGGTCACAGAAGAAAAGTTTGTGCCTGAAATTTTACATCATTTTCAAAAAACAGATTTCAAATTGGTTGTGGCATTGCTGAGAAAATCGTAAAATACGCTTTCTGTAAGCAAACAAGCAAGCAAGTTAATCAGCAAGAAATCTCAATAACGAGACATTGTAGAGACTTCTAGTTTTTTACATTTGATCCGTGCTGCTCTATAGAAGAGCTGTATTGTTTTTGGGCAAGGTAGGAACAGCCGTAGCTTCAGAAAA